AGCGGCCCGTCTGTATGTGGGATCTGACCCCTCGGCGGGAGCGCTGCCACGCTTTCCAAGCGGCGCACTATAGCAGTGCGCCACCGGGCCGGCCTTTTAATGAACTTTTTGAAGAACTCTCTTATGCTAAAAAATGGGTGGAAAGCTGCCCTGAGTCTCATGGGTAGAGATTTTTCTGAAGTTCTTAGGTGCCACATCTTCTCCCTAGTGCCTGAGATCTATCTCCCCAATTACTTTATAGCCCAATGTTTAATGAACTTTTTGAAGAACTCTCTTATGCTAAAAAATGGGTGGAAAGCTGCCCTGAGTCTCATGGGTAGAGATTTTTCTGAAGTTCTCAGGTGCCACATCTTCTCCCTAGTGCCTGAGATCTATCTCCCCAATTACTTTATAGCCCAATGAAATGGGACAGAGAGAAACAGGTAATAATGATAAATTTATAAATATTATATATAATATTATATAAGCAAGTTAAAATTAATACTTTTGCAGAGGAATATTTTCATTCATCCAGCTGAGTCTGGCTACTTCTAAAGGCCTGGAGTCCTTCAGGAACATGGTCAGCTGGATTTTGTTACAAGTTGGATTTCTACAGTCCTTACAGCCTCATGCTTGGAGAAGGGAATGCAAGAAAAGCTTCCATTTCTTCAGAGTATTTGTTCATTGATACTTCATACAGGTTTTACCCCATGCCTCACAGAGCAGTGCATGATGTGGTCAATAGTAAGGAAGGAAATGGAACAGATTTTCTCACAAGGAATGATGGTCTTAAATTGTGTGTCATTTTTATAGTATTTCAGTTTTTTCTTTAGCATGAAGTGGGAGCTGCCATTAGAGAGCAATAAGACTCATAGTGCACACAGTAAAAATGCAGAGATCGGTTCCATGTTTTCATGGTGCTGTTAAGTTTATGAGGAAGTGAGCATGGACAGAATTAGAGTTCTGATAACCATATTTATTTGTCATAAAATGAATAAGAGAATAAAGAATTGTATCTAAGTTTGTGATTTGATTATACATTCCTGTATGGTCTTCTCATATTTTCTCCTTTAAACATGTGTGGGATGTTTTTAGGATTCAGTGGCCTTTGAGGATGTGGCTGTCAACTTCACCTTGGAGGAGTGGGCTCTGCTGGATTATTCCCAGAAGAAACTCTACAGAGATGTTATGCAGGAAATTTTTACACACTTGGCTTCTATAGGTAAGGATGACATATTCCTTCCCTTAGTCAACTAGAGAACGTGTGTTTCTTACCATCAATGCTGTTCCACAATTTGGAAGGTGGAAAGAGAATGCTCTGGTGACTAAATCAGGCATGATCATAGCTTATCAGGAACATAGAGACTAATGTTGTTCTGTAATTTGTAACAATTCATAATGATTTTTCCAATCCTATGTTTTAGGAAAAAAATGGGAAGAACAGAACATTGAAGATCACTACAAAAATTACTGCAGAAATCTAAGGTAATTTATATTCAGAATAGAAAGCAGTGTCCCATATGAGAATGTTAATATGTCGTAAAATTTTAAAAATAACAAAAACAAAATAAGCCCAACTTTAAATTTATTTATTTATAGAAGATGTTTACTAAAAATTTATATTAAAATGTGACATAGTGTTTGCAAAATAGGAAACAGTATTAAGAAATAGCCTATATGAATATCACTATTTTGTTTAATTCCTGTGATCAGACCCTGATACTGTGCTTCTCATTGCTTACAGCAATCATATTGTAGAGAAAGTTGGTAAAGTTAAAGAAAGTCGTGTCTGTGGAAAAACCCTCAGCCAGATTCCAAATCTTAATGTGAAGGAGAAAAATTCTTCTGGAGGAAAACCGTGTGAATGTAGTTTGAGTGAAAACGTTTTCTTGTTTCATTCATCCCTAAATCGGCATATCCCATCTTACAATGGACCCAAATCATATGCGAATCAGGAATGTGGAGAGAAGCCATATAAACATAAGCAATGTGGGAAAGCCTTCAGTTATCTCCACTCCAACCAAATTCATGAAAGGACTCACAATGGAGAGAAACCCTATGAATGTAAGGAATGTGGGAAAGCCTTTATTTCTCTCACACATGTACAAAGGCACATGGCAGTGCATTCTGGAAATAAACCTTATGAATGTAAGGTATGTGGGAAAGCCTTTGTCTCCTCCAGGTCATTACAAATGCATGAAAGTGCTCACAATGGAGAGAATCTCTATGAATGTAAACAGTGTGGTAAAGCCTTCAGTTGGTCCAGTTCCTTTCGAAGACATGAAAGGACTCACACTGTAGGGAAACCCTATGAATGTAAGGAATGTGGAAAAGCCTTCATTTCTCTTGCAAAGGTTCAGAGACACATGATAACACACACTGGAGATGGACCTTACAAATGTAAGGTTTGTGGGAAAGCCTTTTACTTCCCAAGCTCATTTCAAACACATGAAAGAGCTCACAGTGGAGAAAGACCATATGAATGTAAAAAATGTGGTAAAGCCTTCAGTTGGTTAAATTCCTTTCAAAGACATGAAAGAATTCACACTGGGGAGAGACCCTGTAAATGTAAGAAATGTGGGAAAGCCTTCATGTCTCTTGCAAATGTTCAAAGACACATGATAGTGCACACTGGAGATAGACCTTATAAATGTAACATATGTGGAAAAGGCTTTAAGTATTCCAGTTCATTTCAAACCCATGAAAAGACTCACCATGAAAGAAAACACTGTGAATGTAAGGAATGTGGGAAGGTCTTTATCTCTCTTGCAAGCATTCAGAGACACATGGCACTGCACACTGGAGTGGGACCTTATAATTGCAAGATATGTGGAAAAGCCTTTGACTATCCCAGTTCATTACGATTACATGAAAGAACTCACACTGGAGAGAAACCCTTTGAATGTAAACAATGTGGTAAAGCCTTTGGTTGGTCCAAATCCCTCCAAGTACATGAAAAAATTCATAGTGGAGAGAAACCTTATGAATGTAAACAATGTGGTAAAGCCTTTGGTTGGTCCAAATCCCTCCAAGTACATGAAAAAATTCATAGTGGAGAGAAACCTTATGAATCAATGTGGTAAAGTTTTCAGGGATTACAGTTCCTTTTGAAGGCATGAAAAAATTCATACTGGATAAAATGCACAGTAAGAAATGTGGAAAAGCCTTTAGTTAGTCTATGTACTGATAGACAGGAATGAATGCATGCTGGATTGAAACCCTATTAGTTTTATAAATATGGAAAGGTTTTAAATTTTAAATATTAGTTTAAAAGCCCTATGAAAACACAATGTAGTGAAATTCTGTAAATGGCAACCAAAAAATACTCTTAAAAGTATAAAACATTACTGTATGAAATTAATAAAGATCTAAATAAATGGGGAGACCTCCCATGCTAATGCAACAGAAGACAACATTGTTGAGACAGTGACACTCCCTGAAATGATCCATGTTTTTAAACTCTACAGATTTGGGCCGGCCCGGTGGCGCACTGCTACAGTGCACCGCTTGGGAGCGCAGTGGCGCTCCCGCCGAGGGTTCGGATCCCACGTACAGACCGGTTCCTGCTCACTGGCGGAGTGAGGTGCGGGCGCAGCACCGAGGTTTGCGATCCCTTGCCGGTCCCGGTCCGGTACGGGCGTGACACTGAGGGTTGCGATCCGTTGCCGGACACGAAAAAAGACAAAAAGGAAAAAAAATAAAATAAACTCTACAGATTTGATGCAATCCATATCAGATTCATAGCTGACTTCTTTGTAGAACTTGGCAAGGTGTTTTTATGTTGATAAGAATGGGCAAAAAACATACAATAACTAAAGCAGTCTTGAAAAAGAACAAAGGAGGAGGACTCAGATTTTCTGATTTGATAACTTACTACTGAGTGTCTTACATAGTTTGGGCTGGCATAAGAGAATACAGTAGGCTGGGAATCCCAAATGACAAACTTTTATTTTTCACAATTCTGGAGTCTGGAAGTCTGAGATCAGGCTGCCAGCATTGTCCAGTACTTCGTGCTGGGTAAGTCTTCACACAGCCTTTCCTTGGTGCATGCTTGCACAGAGCAAATGATCTCATTTATCTTCCTTATGATCTATGGGCAACAATGTCATTATGGGTGCTTCGCCCTTATGACCACATCTAAACCTGATTATCTCCCAAGTTGCCCTATCTCCAAGTACTATCACATTGGGGGTTAAGGCTTCATCATATAAATTTTGGTGGGACACATTCTGTCCATCAGAACAGTACCATACTAAAAAAGGGATAGACATACACATCAATAGCATGGAATTGAGATTTTAGAAATAAAACGACCTTTGGGCAGCTGATTTTCTAAAATGGTGCCATGGATAAAGAATGAACAGTCTTTTTCAAAAGCTGGTGCTGGCACAACTGTACAGCCACGTGCAGAAGAATGAAATTGGACCCGTACTTCATACCACATGTAAAAATCTACTAAGATAAATCAAATACCTGAACATAAAAGGTAAATTTATAATTCTCATAGAAAAAAATATATAGGTAACATTATTTATGACTTTGGATTTGGCAAGGAATTCTTACATAGGACACCAAAACCACAAACAGCAGAAGAAAAAATACATAATCTGGACTTCGTAAAAATTAACAACTTTTGTAATTCAAAGGAGACCATCAGGAAAGTGAAATCACCCATTGAACCTTGAGTGCACTGTTGGTGAGAATGGAAAATGGTGCAGCTTCTGTGGAAAACAGTGTGATAGTTCCTGAAAAAATTAAAAATAGCATTATTATCTGATCCGGCAATTCCTTCTGGGTATATACCCCAAAAAATGGAAAGCAGGGACTCTTAACATTTTTTGTACACCCACATCAGTAGCAGCATTATTGCTAATAGCTAAAGGTGGAAGCACCTCAAGTTTCCATCATTGAATGAATGAATAAGATTGGAAATTTTATGTGTACTTTACTACAACTAAAAATAAGTTTTTAAGTAAAGTGAAATCACAACTCACAGAATGGAAGAATATTTGAAAATGTACAAGTGTATCTGTGAAGGGACTTGTAATGAGAATACATAAATTTTTAAAACTCAATAATTAAAATTCAGAACACCTAATTAAAAATGGGTAATGGATCTGTATAGACATTTTTTCAAGAAAGGTATAGAAGTAGGCAAAAGCACATGAAAAGATGCTTGATATCATTTGATAAATGCCATTCTAACAGGTTTGCATGATATCATGTTTTTCATTTGCATTTCTCTGATGATTAGTGGGTTTCAGCATTTTTAAAATATAGCTTAGCTATTTGTATGTCTTTTGAAAAATGTCGGGCCGGCCCGGTGGCGCACTGGATAGTGCGCCGCTTGGGAAGCGCGGTGGCGCTCCCGCCCAAGGGTTCGGATCCCACATGCAGACCGGTTCCCGCTCACTGGCTGAGCGAGGCACGGGAGCAACCCCAAGGGTTGCAATTCCGTTAAC